GTAAATGATGAAAAAGTGAATTTACACGATGTTTTAAACGATAGATGTATTTGCTAATAAACAAATTTGTTTGTTTTTCCCTTAAAAATCAATTCCAATATAATGAGATATTAGTTTTTGCTATAATCTCTTTGACGAAACTCTATAACTATCTAATATTATCAGTACTACTTTACATTTTCTTTTTCACTAATTCATTTTTTTTTTTTAAATTTAACTTTCTAAGATCCTATATTCATCGACCGAATCCAGTGGTTAATTCCAGCAAAATTCTCAATTTATCGATAACATTACAATCATCGTTCTCATAATATGTTTTTGTGGGTTTACATATACACCGAATTAAGTCTCGTTGCTTGTTGGCAAACATTAACATAGAATTATTTGAATAAAAAGAAAAATATATAGATATAAAGTTCGTTATCCAAAATATTCAAGTAATAATAGATATGTATATTATGATTTTAATTAGAAAAATTTACCTAGAATAATCTTTTTTTTTTTAAATATAGCTAGAATAACCTTACCATTTTTTTTATTGCTGAAATAACCTATTCTAAATTTTTTTTCTTTCATAATACMAAAATTGTCCTTGCCAGACTCTGCGTATTTCTAGATATTGGCAGAGTCTGCCAATACATCGGTAGAGTCTACCAATGTTTCCGCAGAGTCTGCCAATGATTCAGCAGAGTCTGCCAATACTTCGACGGAATCTACCAATGTTTGGCAGACTCTACCAATGTTCGGCAGACTCTGCCAATGTTCGGCAGACTCTGCCAATATTTTGGCAGAATCTGCGTATTTTTAGATATTGGCAGAATCTGCCAATACATCGGTAGAGTCTGCCAATACATCGGTAGAGTCTGCCAATGTTTCGGTAGAGTCTGCCAATACCTCGGCAGAGTCTACGAAGGACAATTTTGGTATTATAAAAGAAAAAAAATCTAGAATAGGTTATTTCAGCAATAAATAAATAGTAAGTTTATTGTAGCTATTTAAAAAAAAAAATCGGTAGAGTCTGCCAATACCTCGGCAGAGTCTACGAAGGACAATTTTGGTATTATAAAAGAAAAAAAATCTAGAATAGGTTATTTCAGCAATAAATAAATAGTAAGTTTATTGTAGCTATTTAAAAAAAAAAAGTAGGTTATTCTAGCTAATCTTATTATTATTATTTTTTTGATAAAATTTGATTGCATTAAATAAAAGTAGCAAGAGTTTTATATGTCATTTGTACCCCACTTTAATTATAATGGCCAAATAAAAATATTGTTTTAACCAAGATTGGCAAGCCCACGATGAAAGATGTTGTTGGATGACAAAAGTCCTGTCTACATGCCCAAAGTCCTGTCTACATGCCCATGTTGAATGAACGGGGTGAAGCCGATGAGCTAAGATCACCGAAGGGAAAAGCAGTGCTGCAAATTTTCACTTTCAGCTGATGGATTTTGGCATCTGATAGTTGAAATTCTGTTTTTGATTGTGAGCTCAACTCGTCTTGGGGATCATACGATCTCGTGTTTTATGCTTTTAAGATACTTCGTTTGAGTCAAACAATCTTGTTCCAACTAATCAAGGGTTGATCTAGGTTGCATGGAAACTCCGTCTGAGAAGCGTTTCCAGTTTCAGAAACGTTTCGGAAACCGAAATTTTTGGAAACTCCATTGAAACGCGTTTCCTAAAATATTTTAATTTGTAAACTCGATGGAAACTTTAATTCCGTTTTGGAAACGCGACGAAAACTCGTTTCCTAGAAAATCTCATCAAATTAAACACGAACGAGATGAGTGAATAAACACTCCCTCCGTTTCAAAATATAAGGGAGTATAAAAAAAGGTTAGCTTACTTTTTCATGTTGCACTTCTTCATGCAGATTAAGACATAACTCTTATTTCCTGAACAAACTTCTTTCTATTCAGTTTCAGTTGATGATGTTCATCATCAAACATTTCTRGAACAATCTCTAATTGTAACCCTTTCTATAAGGTGGGTGACTTGTAAATGTTCAAGTTCCGTTGATAAAAAAATTATGAGATAACTATTTTAAAATATTATTGATCATTACTTTTGGTCAAAAATTATTGATCATTACTTTTGTTCATAAATTTCAAGACGTTTCGACCAATTGTTTGATCATAAATATTCCAACCACTATTTTGGTTAGGAATGATTGACAATTGATTTGATCATAAAATTTCGACCATTTCTAAACCAATTGTGTTTATCAAAATATTTTGACCAGTTTTTGACGAAATCGTCATTTTAACCAACTATGATCATAATTGAAATATTTTCTTGTAGTGATTTTTATTGTTATTTTGTATCTTCAATCTTTGTTTCTCTTCTTAGCTATGGAGTGTGCTTTGTTTCAGGATTTGTATTATCCTAATTATCCACCATTATTAAACAAATTTTTTATTGTAGTTTTTTTCTATTTTTAGAAAAGATTGTTGAGACAAAACAGACCTTTTTGTGTGACAAAATTTGTATATTTTCTCAAAAGCATCTGGAGGCACCTAGGTATTAAAAATGAACTGGAAGAAATAATAGCTGATCTTTAACTAATTTGGTATTTATATGAATATTAGAAAAAATCTATGTATGAATTTTTTATTTTGATGTATTATGTATAAAATGTTTAATAAAATATTGAATTATATCGAGCGTCTAATTTCCGTCTAACGTGATTCTGAATAAG